CTGGAGAGAGTCTGTGAGTGGACCTGGAGAGAGTCTGTGAGTGGACCTGGAGAGAGTCTGTGAGTGGACCTGGAGAGAGTCTGTGAGTGGACCTGGAGAGAGTCTGTGAGTGGACCTGGAGAGAGTCTGTGAGTGGACCTGGGAGGAGAGTCTGTGAGTGGACCTGGAGAGAGTCTGTGAGTGGACCTGGAGAGAGTCTGTGAGTGGACCTGGAGAGAGTCTGTGAGTGGACCTGGAGAGAGTCTGTGAGTGGACCTGGAGAGAGTCTGTGAGTGGACCTGGAGAGAGTCTGTGAGTGGACCTGGAGAGAGTCTGTGAGTGGACCTGGAGAGAGTTCAGCATGAAGAATGCTCCCAGAGGAATCTGTCTCATCATCAGGATCACTCTGATCACATTGTGCTGTGTCTCTGTTTACTGGACACGTTTCTTCATCTGATTCTAAATATCTGTTTGAAATATTGTGTTTCTCTCTGAGTTAAGCAGAATTAATTTAGAAAGATTTCCATGTTCTGTTGTCAGTGTTTCTCAGGTAGAAAGAGCAGCAGTCTGATTGTTATCTTAGATCACTAACATACAGAGCACACGTCATCAGTGAAAAATGCAGGGTGTGTCAGAACCGGTCTAAGAACTCTGATCATGTGACTGAGGTGCATTTATTTTTAACTCTTCATACTCTGACCTAAAGTGCATGGATGAAGTGAGAAGGGCTCAGATACAGCCATCCTCCTACACTGACACTGAGCTGTTTCACTGAAGAGCCTTCAGCTCAGCTCCAACTGGCCTACAGGACTCAACATCCTTTCTACATAGACCAATTTAAAGTTTGGGATTATAAGAAGGGTTAGGAGGGTTACTTAAAAATGTTTAATCTGTTACAATACCAATTACCTGTTAAAAACAGTAATCAGTAACGTAATCTAATTACCCCAATGTTAAAGTAATGTATCCTGATTACTTTCTGTTACTTTTGGATTACCTCAATATCAAAATAAATATCAATAAGATTGCTTTTACTTATTGTATTCTGATTTTGACCCATCAAGAACATTTCTCTAATTGTCCACTAAAGAGGCATATGGAAAATGTAATTGTGATTAAAGTCCCTAACTGCATTTACATAACTAACTTCCTTATTTGTATATTTTTCTAAACATAACCCAGTAGTTGTGTTGTTGTGTTATTGAGAATGCAGTCGTACAGGAACGTTGTTTTGTGGGAGGCTGATTTGTAATGCTCAGAGGAGAAGAGAACAATGGAGGCTGCTGCTTTTATTCACCTGGGTCCCATGGGCGGGTCTCACCTGGGGTGAAGAGATGAGATGAGATGAGATGAGATGAGATGAGATGAGATGAGATGAGATGAGAGATGAGATGAGATGAGATGAGATGAGATGAGATGAGATGAGATGAGATGAGATGAGAGATGAGATGAGATGAGATGAGATGAGATGAGTGGCAGCCATGATAAGTGCCGTTCCAATTCTCTAGATTAAAAGGAAAGGAGGTTTCAAACTTCCTTTATAATCTCCTTTAGTTTAGGAACCACTGGACCTCCCTAACCGAAAGGAGAGGAGAAAATGCTGAGTATTCGACCGCAACCCACGTGATTAGTTCTCAAGCTCTGTGATTGGTTGACCTCCAACTGCATTCCATATGAAAAAAAACGTTTCATAAAAGATAAAATCATACTTTATTCAGCAGTGCTTGCTTTACTCTTTGAAAGTCATCACATGAATGCATTGTAATAAATGGTTCGGCTGCATTAAATATTACACATCTGTCGTAGTTCTTTATTTATCTACAGAGATCGGGCCTCAGAATAGACCGGAAACTATTCTTTTACCGTTCTGTTTTAATTTCACAATAAAGTTAGTAGTAATAATTTGTTTTGATATTATTGTTTTTTATTAACTACTAGACCGCTGGGTCATGTTAAGACCATCTTTTCTGTGTTGCTGTGGGTTTTTTACATCGCTTTTGTGTTACAAATATCAAAACAATAACAGAATATATCCGTCGTAAACTAAACCAGAAACAGCAGTATGTTTTATTTTGTTAACACGGTAAACTTGACAGCTTTTTAACCCGCACCTCCTACTGGTTAAAGCACATTATTACACATTTAGAGTAATTGCAATGCAGGTAGATTGTGTTGCTTTTTAACCTGTTAAACCCCAAGGACCCTCCGAAGGGTCCGAAAATGCTACATCTGCTAGCACCAGTGTGATCTCTGAAGTGTCATTTATGAAACTATTAATGTTCCACACCCAGCTGACGGGAAGAAACTCAGCTAACTGACTATACGAAAAAAAAAAAAAAAAAAATAATAATAATTCCCACAAGAAGCCTTTCAATGAGCCCTTAGCAAATACGGACTAATGCTATTTCTGCTCATAACTCACAAAAATTATCATTTATAATTATACTTTCTGCACAAACAACACATCATCTGAAAGCTGAGATTCCACAGATTCCATTGGCATAGGTCTCATCACTGCACGGCCAGAACTCACTGAGCTAGCAGCCAGAACATAGCAAATAAACAACATCAGTTGTCAAATCCATGACAATAATTAGCAGGTTAAATTTTACAATAATCTTTTTTTTTTTTTTTCTTTTTTTTTTATGGAATGAATAACTATAGTGATGATTCAATGTTATAAAATGATTTTTACAGTCTGGTACCTGAAAAAGGTCAAATGGCACTGATGGAACCAGATGTGCCCAAAGCTTATTCCGCCTGGAATTTTTTTCCCTAAATCTCTCTAAAAAGGTCAATTTTCACTTGTTTTGCCTCAATCTTGATACAGGGTACTTATTATATGTTATAATTTTGATTCCTAAAGCTTTTAGGCTACTAACCCATCATTCAAGGGTGGTTTTCACTATAAGTAATGGTTTTTTGTTAGGCGGAGGTAAGAATTTACACTTTTTTACTATGTTCCATCTGAATTCACTCTGACACAGAAACATCTATATTGATTCTGACACTTCTACATCCATCTCACAGATGTAACCTTGCTTTGAGAAAAAAGTTGATTAATTTAACCCTTTTAGAAGTGAAGTTATAGTCATTTGTTCTGGGCATGTCATTTTCGAGCCTGAAACCTGAAAAACAGGCTTGGGGCTTAACAGGCTAATGTCTTTCATTTTTGTAAAGCACTTTTGAATGTGTTATATTTGATGAAAACATTTAAATATTAAGAGTACATACTCTTAATATAGTGGGAAAGTAGAAGGTCAATGATATAAATAATATAGAATAGAAAATATCAAGAAGATACTGTAAGTGATCTCAACAATAAAACAGTTTAGTGCCTGATAGGAGGATGTGCAAAACAGACAAACTAATAAGGCTTTATTTAACATTAAAGAATACTTTAGGTTAAGGTCTTCTTTTAAATAAGAAAAAAGCTTTGGGGGTATCTACAGATATTAAGCCTGACAAAGTACTTAACATCTAATATATTGCATGGTTTGTTTTGGAACTTGACAATCAACTTTCCTGCAATGTTAACTGTGTTGAAGCACATATTTTAACTGATATTATACATATTAATTATACTCTTATAAGATGTATGTAGATAGTATAAGAAATGTGCAGAATATGTTTAATGGTGGAGGTACACAGATATCGATAGATATCTTGTAATGCACTGTTGAGGAACCTGTGACCCAAGTTTTTCATTCATTGCATAACTACACCGTAGTTGTGTCTGAAAATCTTGAAATCTTGAAAGGGATGTGCAAAATAGCCATTATATACAGTCTTTAATTAACTATTAGTAGAGAATAACGAGTAATGAATATGCTTTATAGGGATCTGCAGATAAATATTTAGTCTTCTCAAGCACCCACTACCAAATATCTCGCCTGATTGTTGGCACTTGACAATCACCTTCACTGAATTTTACTCAGGTGTAACTAAAGTCTGATTTAAGGGTTGTTTATATTTCACATCATTAATTCAAATCTGAAAAGTAACTAAAATAAATGTAGTGGAGTAAAAATACCAGGTTAACCTTAAAGAAAGCCCTCAGGATTATAAAAGACCCCCATCACCCCAGCCACAAACTGTTCTGTCTGCTGCCGTCTGGCAGGCGGTACCGCAGCATCCGGACTAAAACCACCAGACTCAGGGACAGTTTCATCCCACAGGCCATAGGACTATTAAACACCTGAACTTAGAAACAACATCCATAACATTCATCAGGCTGCTACTTAGAAATTATTTATCTAATATATCATATTCCAATCACTTGTATATAGACTCTTATGCCCCTTTCACACCAACGCGTTTTCAGCTCCGGCTCGGAGCTGGAGCCTGAAAAGTACCGGTTTTTCCTGTTCACACCACAGCGGCGCCGCGTCATAGCTCCGGAATGCGGTTCACTTCCAGCTCCAAAAAATTGTCGGTCTCGAGGCAAGAGCTTCGGAGCTAAGAGGCGGCGTCGCTTACGTCTCTCTTACGTCGAGGCGTGCAGGAAACTAAACCCACCTCCCCTGAACATGGGTTGACTGAAGAGTCTCGTCATGCCTGCCTACAAGCAGTAGCGCTGAGCAAAGTGACTAGAAGGCAACCACACACTTATAAAAAAAAACACACTTTATAAAGTCAGGCAACACTAACCAGGCTTCGTGTGATTCTGTTTATTTGTACCTTACTTTGACCATCCGTTCGCTGTTATTGATCATTGTAGAGAGCAGGCAGACGTTTTGTTTGTTATTATAGCAGCTATCGGATGGAATCAATACATGGGCTGCACAGGTTGTCATGTCCGACTATCACAAGTAGAATCATAATGAAAAATAAGCCGGTAAAATGTGCCTGTAGAAAACGGCTTAGCAAGTAGTCAGTTTAGCTTCGGTTGCTATGCTAACATCACCCATGTTATACCAGAGAAACTTTCATAACAGCGTTGTGATGCCAAACAGAAAACGGGGTCCAACCTCTACTTTAACCTCTTAAGGTCGACGGTCCCCCCGACCGTCGACCTTAAGAGGTTAAAGTAGAGGCCTCCTGCTTACAGCCTGCTGTGAGAGTGAAACTGTCTTTCTCATACAGACATGATAACACCAAATACAGAGTTGAGATCATTCCAGGATCTCCTTCTGTCTACCGGCTGATACCAGAACAAGGCAGCATAGGATCTATAAGAAGACTGACTCTCGGTAAAAAGACAAACAAAACCATCTTGCTTGTTGGTGAAACAGGCTCAGGAAAATCAACTCTGATCAACGCTCTGGTTAACTACGCCCTGGGAGTGAAGTTCGAGGACGATGTATTTTTTCAGATCGTACAGGAAGAAAGGAAAAGTCAAGAAGAAACTCAGACTTCAGATGTGATCGTTTACGAGGTCTTTGGTCTTGAAGGTAAAACTCTGCCCTTCTCTCTGACCATAATCAATACCCCCGGGTTTGGACATACCAGAGGGACTGAGAGAGATGTCCTCGTCAGAGAAAGATTGTTGGACTTGTTCCGCTCAACAGATGGAGTTCATGAGATCGATGCAGTGTGTCTGGTTCTGAAAGCGAGTGAGAATCGACTGAGTGACCGACTGATGTACGTCTTTGATTCAGTGGTGTCTCTGTTTGGAAAAGACATAGAGGAGAACATCGTTGCCCTCATCACACATTCAGATTTTTTGACACCTAAAAATGTTCTGCAAGCTCTGAAAGATGCGAAAATCAGGTGTGCAAAAGACAAGGAGGGTCAGCCTGTTCATTTCATGTTTAATAACATCCAGAAAACAGAGAAAAATGAAGAGGATGAGGATCAAATTAAGCATGTATGGAACTCAACAATGAAGTATATCAGTCAATTTGCAGTTTTCCTTGAACATACTGAACCTCAGAACCTAAAAACAACCGTTGAAGTTGCATCCACAACCTGCAGGAGAGGATTGAGTTCATTGAACTGAAACAGAGAGAGATCAAACAGACTCAGGAAGGTCTGAAGAAACATGAACAAGACATGAAGAATATCAAAGACTTCACAATAGAAAGGAAAGTTAAGAAGGACATACAACAGTTGAAAGAGATGTATGAGAAGAGTGAAAAAGGCAGTGAGAAGTCAGTGAGCCTCTTGGAAACTCTCCAGAAGAACATGACAGAGCTCCAGAAAGACAAAGATCAGTTTCTGGAAGAGTCTTTCCAACATGTTGTGGAACTGGAGAAGATCGCTCTGAAGGTTGTTTCAATCTCCACTCAGGCCCACCTGGACTTCCTGATTGAGAAGATGAAGGAGAAGGGAGAAAAAGAGAAGGTCATGAAACTGGAAATGATAAAAAGTCAAATGGAGGAAAATCCAATAATCAAATCAGCGCTGAGCTACCTGTCTGGTAAAACAGCAGCTATTGGTAAAGCCGCTAGGGATCTCCTCCAAGAGAACACAGCTGGGTAGAAAACAAGCTCTACACTTTGATGAAAGGTATTTCATTATACCAAGTGTGATGTTGATGATGTGATTGACATTTTTTATCTTTGTAATTCCTGGAAACAGCGCCCTTTGTGGTTTACTGTTCAATAACCAACCCTTACTTCACTGTACACGTTATGGACAATTAATATTTTCCACCTTGTGGGTTCCCTTTGTCCTTTGTGACCCAAAGTCCCTCCTCACAATGTCCGTGAAGTTCTGCATGCAGCCCAAACTGTAGCTAACTGTGCATGCTCCTCCAGCTGGTTACCAAGCAGAAGAAGAAGAAGAAAACAAACTGAGTGATTGTTTGGAAGAGATGTTGAATGAGGATACTCGTCGTTACCAGCATGAATATCATTGAGAGAGTTTGTGGAGCTCCAGACGAACACAGACCCTCAATTGTTGCTCTGGTTTCAAATTGAGGAAAGAGCCCCCCCTGCTGTTCAATGCTAGCTACAGCAGCTCTCTCTCTCCTCTATATACAAAGTATGGCAAATAAACCAATGCATTATTTCATAACTTGTTCTTTTCATGTAAAGTAAATTGACTGAGGCATATACTTTTGGAATCAGAAAATGATGCCTTTGAATCTTTAGGTGACAGTTCTGCAGAAAGACTTTGCAGCTCTTGAGGCTTTTTACTGATATTTAAACTATGTTTGGTGTAAAAGACGATGTGTAATCATTTGTTCTGATGTTATTGTGTATTCTCCACATATGAGGATGTTTAACCTGCAGCTCAGTCTCTTCCAAATCACACTCATCACATGTACTGCATATAAAAGAGACGCAGCTTTCTGCTGGGAAGTAGAACAAAGAAAAGCCTCCATTTTAGTTTGTTTATGAGTTGCATTTCAGCACTTTGCATTTATTACTTTTTACAAGAGCGGTAAATCAGCTTAGAAACAGGAAGTGCTCAAACGTTTGTGTGAGGTTATCAAATTTAGCAGTGATTCCATGTCAGCCACAGCTTGTCACAAAATGTTTTACTGATAGTGTATTTAACAAACTTAAACTAGCTTTATTAAATGTCAGGTCTTTGGCAGGAAAAACATTTTTAATCAATGATTTTATCACTGAGCACAATCTCGATTTTATGTTTTTAACGGAAACTTGGATTGAACAAAATAACAGTGCAGCTGTTCTTATCGAATCAACCCCTCCCAACTTTAGTTTTATGAGTCAGGAAAGAATGCATAAGAAAGGGGATGGAGTTGCTATTTTGTTCAATGATTCCATTCAATGCAGGAAGACATCTTATGGGGACTTTGCTTCTTTTGAATATGTGGCCCTTCAGCTGAAATGCTCCTCTCGAGCTCTGTTCCTAAATATCTATAGACCACCCAAATACTGTGCAAGCTTTTTTGATGATTTTACTGAACTGCTGTCTATAGTGTGTATTGACTTTGACCGTTTAGTCATTGTTGGTGATTTTAACATCCATGTTGACAACCCCCAGGACAGAGGGGCTAAAGAACTGTTTTGTGTTCTTGATAACTATGGACTGACTCAGCATGTGGCGGAGCCCACGCACAATAAGGGGCACACTCTGGACTTAATTATCTCAAAGGGTCTGAATATCTCAAAGGTTGTGGTGACTGATGTTGCACTCTCTGATCATTCCTGTGTTTTCTTTGAGAGCTCTATTTCTGTTCACAAAAATGTTCAGAAAGAGGTAACCACAAAGCGATATTTAACAGAAAATACTAGAGAAATGTTTACTCATAATTTCTCATCCACACTTGCCCCTGCTAACATCTCAGTAAATGAGCTAGTAGATCATTTTAATTCAAAAATTAAAAATGTTATAGATACCATTGCTCCAACTAAGGTAAAGGAAGTGATTAGCAAGAAAATATCTCCATGGAGAAAGGCCATGACCGTGAGAACAGAAAAAAGAGAGTGTCGAAAAGCTGAACGTAGGTGGCGAAAAACAAATCTCCAGGTTCACTTTGAAATCTATAAAGAGAGACTTGGCCTTTATAATTTGGAATTGAAAAACGCACGACAGTCTTTCTTCTCTGACATCATTACCAAAAACAAAAACAACGCACGTGCCTTGTTTGCTACCGTCGACAGACTAACTAACCCCCCAGTGTCAGTAGCCTCTGAATTTCTATCCACCAGGGCGTGCAATGATTTTGCCTCCTTCACTGACAACATTCAGAAAATTAGACAAGCAGTCAGTGCCTCTGTATCAGGTACAGCAAATGTTTTGTCCCTATGTCCACCTAATATCAATTCAAACACCATGACACAATTCCATCAGATTAATGGTAAAAACTTAGAGGACATTATTCAACTTCTGAAATCCTCCTCCTGCTGCCTTGATATTATTCCAACAGGATTTTTCAAAGATGTTTTTCCTTGCATGGCCTCAGATCTACTTCATATAGTAAACACATCTCTTCACTCAGGTATTTTTCCAGAGGCCCTGAAAACTGCAGTCATTAAACCGCTCTTAAAAAAGAATAATCTAGATGCCTCAGTAATGAACAATTACAGGCCAATATCAAACCTGCCATTTCTAGGTAAAATCATTGAAAAAGTAGTATTTCAACAGTTGAGTAACTTCTTGCATTTAAATAACTGTTTGGATGTGTTCCAGTCAGGATTTCGTCCAAACCACAGCACTGAGACTGCTCTTGTAAAGGTCTTCAATGACATCCACTTAAACACAGACAGTGGCAGAACTTCAGTGTTAGTATTATTAGATCTCAGTGCTGCATTTGACACTGTTGACCACAACATATTACTAGACCGACTAGAAAACTGGGTGGGACTTTCGGCAACAGTTCTAAATTGGTTTGAGTCCTACTTAAAGGACAGAAAAAACTTTATTTCTATAGGTAAATACACATCTGAGTTGACAATTATGACATGTGGGGTACCTCAAGGCTCCATCTTGGGGCCTCTTCTCTTTAACATCTACATGCTACCACTGGCTCAGATAATGAAAAACAACAAAATAAGTTACCATAGCTATGCGGATGACACACAAATTTACGTAACAATTTCACCAGGAGATTATGCTCCAATTCAAACACTGAGTAAGTGCATTGAACAAATCAATGACTGGATGTGTCAGAACTTTCTCCAATTAAACAAAGATAAAACTGAGGTAATGGTTTTTGGAGCCAAGGCAGAACGTATAAAAGTTAGCGCTGAGCTTCAGTCTGCAATGTTCAAAACAACAGATAAAGCCAGAAATCTAGGTGTAGTCATGGACTCTGACCTGAGTTTCAACAGTCACATTAAAACAGTTACTAAATCAGCCTACTATCACCTAAAGAACATATCTAGGATTAAAGGACTAATGTCACAGCAGGATTTGGAAAAACTTGTCCATGCTTTTATCTTCAGTAGACTCGACTACTGCAATGGTGTCTTTACAGGCCTCACTAAAAAATCTATTAGAAAGCTGCAGCTAATTCAGAACGCCGCTGCTCGAGTCCTCACTAACACTAAGAAAGTGGATCACATCACTCCTGTTCTGAAGTCTTTACACTGGCTTCCTGTGTGTCAAAGAATAGATTTCAAAATATTGTTGCTGGTTTATAAAGCTTTGAATGGTTTAGGCCCAAAATACATGTCTGACCTACTGCTAAATTATGAACCATCCAGAACCCTCAGGTCTTCAGGGACTGGTCAGCTGTCTGTCCCCAGAGTCAGAACTAAACATGGTAAAGCAGCATTCAGTTATTATGCTCCGAATATCTGGAACAAACTCCCAGAAACCTGCAGGTCCGCTGCAACTCTTACTACTTTTAAATCCAGGCTGAAGACTTTTCTTTTTGCCGCTGCTTTTAATTGAACTATTCACATCTTAAACTGCACTGTAACTTTTAACTTTTATCCATGTATTTTTTCTTTTAATGTTTATTTTATTATCTTTCCTTTTTAATGACTGATTTTAAATGCCATTTTTAAAATGTCTTCCATTTTTGTAAAGCACTTTGAATTACCTTGTGTTGAAAGGTGCTATATAAATAAACTTGCCTTGCCTTGCCTTGCCTTGCCTTTACATGTTCATCAGTAGTTGCTTTATTTTGAGACTTGATTGTTGTCAGTTGAGTTCATCTTTTTCTTCATCATTTGATCATGTTTGCATAACATGCTGATGTTTGTGGTGTTTCTTTAACCATGTATGATGATGATCACACCTTGAATGTGTTGGATATGAAACAGGTGTCAGTGACGACAGATTTGAAAGAAAAGTCTCCTGTTTTTAAGATTTGCATTCAGTTACTTTGCATTTTTACCTTTTTAGATATTAAGCATTTATGGTTTTATTTTGAGACTTGAGTTTCAGCAGTTTAGTTCAGATTGTTTTTCTTTATCATTTAATCATTGTTATCATGTGTAATCATTTGTAACCATATATCAAGTGAATAAATAAAAACAAGTAGACTGATGTGGTCTACTGAAAGACAGCAGCTTCTTCTATTATCGTCTTCTGAACAAAGCTCCATACGGCCTCTTGGGGTTTGGATGAATGTATAATTACATTATAAATACATTTGATGTCAAATCACTCAAATCTTTCAAAGTTATCAGAAAGATGCAAATCAGGTGTTGACC